TTCTCTCATATATTTAATTTCATACATTTAAAAGATTAAAAAAATTACCAGCTTTTGTTTCAGTCCTTTAATCCTGTAAACTAAAGTTTGTAGTGAATGCAATGGCAGAATGTTTTTTTTTTTGCCACTTCGTTATCATTTTCCTCAGCTTGCATTTTTTTTGTTTCAGCAGAAATATGAACTCAGTGTCCAGTTATTCAGTGTTGCTACATTTTATAAAGAATGATACTGGTATTTATGTAACAAAGCTCTTGAGTAATTGGAATTTTACTCCATTACATGAAGCGTATGCAAATGTATCATTATTTTCCTTCTAATTTTTGAATCTTTTGGCCAGTATAAGACAGAACATGCCCAGGGTAGGGGGGGTGGTGGGTGGGGATGTTGTAGCTCTCTCAGTCATGCTTCCATAAAGTTGCATAAAAATATAATTCAAATTGGAAGGAGAAGCCCAAATCATTGCCCCCAGTGTGGTAAGGGCTGTTGACTTTGAATTTAAACACAATATTAAACATGATAAAATCCATGGGAGGGAGAGAGTTACAGGAAAATGTACTGCTTAAATGCCATTGTGCATGGAGCTGTGCTTTTTAAATTGTGTTGGCTGGGATCTCCAGCTGCAGCAGGTCCTGTTGGTTTCTTGTAAACAAGGGAGTGTGATTGGTTTTGTATGGTCTTCTTGTGTCAGCACATATTAAAACTAAAGTGAGTAAAATAACTGAGTGATGTTTTCAAACTAGGAAATGCTTGTTGTCATCGTAAAACTACCCAGTAGATGACAAAAGCCCCATCATTAATTTTGAAAGAGCTTTTTCCCACACCACGTTCCCAAGCATCCAGTTACAATGGTTATGACTGGGCTGATGCATCTTGCTGCTTGACAGAATAGCATATCAAATCTTCTTGTTAAATGACAAATTAATATTTGTTTGTTACTGCCCTGTAGGAACTAGTACTTTTTTGGGAACATTAGCTAATGGCTTGTTGGAGGTGGGGCAAGAAGTAGAAGCAAGGAACAACAGCTGCAGTAGACAATCTGAAAAACATTCCTCATCACTTAACTTTTTCTGTTAAAGAAGCTTTAGGTTTCATTCAGATTTTTGATGATGAGGCCAGACAGCACAAATTCATGAAGAACCTGTCATATTCTCATCTCTAGCATTTTTTCGTTGACTACTGCCAACAAAGTAACATTTACTGTTATTTGACAGTTCCCATTTGTGAATGGTTTGTGCTTGAGCGTTAAACAATCGGTTAACATGTCCTTCTCATTTAAGGCTATTGGATATGATGTAGTCCCCTGGGAAGCTTTTAGCAAACTAACTGCATCTTTGTAGAAGACATCAGTTCACTAGATTTTACATATCTTAAGGTTAAAGTAGAAAAATGTCAGGTGTTAGTTAGATGCAAAAGCTGCTCACAAAGGTAGACCTAGAAAATAGATGCTTATGTTCACTGTTTTGAAATTCTCTAGTCTCTTACCATGCTGTCTAACATTTAGTATTATTTTAGTTTTCCCATGCTATTTAGAAAAATTTTGTAACTGAAAGTTCCAACACACTTTAAAGTCAGTTTGTTGTTTTTATATCATAATCACATTATGTTGGGTAAAAATAATTTATTTGATCATCTTGCTTTTGCAACTGATATCTTAGAAATTTGTTGTTGTTAAATAGGTCTGAAACAGATGACATTTTCTATTAACATTCTGCTAAAATTTCTGTTGCTTGAAAAAAGGAGATAATAGAAATTCTTTGTAACTACTTAGTTCTGGGTGGAGCTATTCATGCCAATGTTTAAAAGTGTTGCTATTTTTTCTTAGCAGTTACTGTTTTAAATTTTCATGCTGCTTTGTGGAATAGTGGATTATAATTCTAAATGAAACTACTTAAAGTCCTATTCTACGGGTAATTTTTGTTAAGTAGATGAATAGCATTTGAGTTCTGAGTTAGTTCTTTCTAGATTTTGAAGATTAATATTGCCTTTCTAAAGACAGAAAATATTGTCTTATGTGAGAATGCTTGTAACTTTCTATTGGAAAGTAGTAGGTCAGAGAGGTGGAAGAAGGGTTGAAAGCGAAGATTTCTGCAACTGTGTGAGAGAAGTAGGTTGCTCGGATACCTATTATATCCAGATTTTTTGGTATCTAGTAAAACTAGATATTTTCATTAAGGTGCCTAGACAATAGCTGAAATTACTTATTACATGCTATGAAATGGCATAGAAATTTCATTAATCTTTTTCTAATTATGGAAGAATATATATATATGTTTTTCTCCAGGCTTTAACTAAAGTATTATAAATGCTCTATGCTTTGGGAATAAGTCCTGTACAGAGCCCTTGTATGTACTGGATGCTGTCTGAGGTGACTACCCATCTCAGCTCAGAAAATGTTTCATCATTTAGAAAACGGTCAAAGGACAGCCCTTCAGAGGAAACATTTAAACTCTAAGTCAGTCCTAAAATCCTGCCAACTAGCAAAATATTAACATGCCCCATCTAGTCTTTGGCCCATTTCTGCTTTTACTGTTGGAACAATTTTTCCCTGTGCAAGTGACTTTGTTTAATGAATTTCATGTTCCAAAATATTAAATAAGAATGATTTATAATTAAGTACTTTAGAATTCTATACATATTTTCCTTTAAAGGTATGTGCAAAGCAGTAAACATTCAATCATATCAGGTGTATTTAACATTAGGAATAGTCATGAGAGCTTACGTTTAGAATAGGAAGAGTGGAAGCCCAGGGATTTAACTACCCGAGGAGAAGTAGTATAAATTAGAATGTCATGAACGAAGGTTGTTAACTAATTGGGAAGATAAACCTCTCTATAGAAGTAGGAAAGTGTAATGAAGATACTGACAGAAAAGTTACAAATATAAAACAGAGACAAATGGTATTTTCATATTCTGTTTTTAAAAGAGAGGTAAAGAGGTACTTTTAAACTTGAAGGTTTTAATCTCAAGAAATTAAAATTTTAGATATTAGAAGATTTTAAAAGTAATATTTTCCTTTTTAAAAAGACAATGTATATTTATGAAACTCTTGGTTCCTTCTGAGTAATACTTAATTATATATTTATACATTAAAAAAATGACTAGTTTGAGTCATGAATTTTGCTGTAAGACTTACTTTTGTCAAGATTACAATCATGCTAAGCCTCATGTATGCTAATGTAACTTAAAAAAACACTGTGTCTTTTTAATCAAACCTTTTTGACTTCTAAAAGTTTGGGTGAATCAACTGTACGTAAAAATAAAACCACATTCCTATTAGCCAGTTTAGTCAAATGGATAAAAATTCTTTGAGCTATAGATGATAATATGGTGCTTGGAAGTATTTTTATTTTTTTAGAAAGGATAAAATTTAAATTTTAAATTTAACTCTTACCATGTAGCAATTAATTATGAAAAGTCATATATTTGTTGTCAGGTGTCAACATTCATTGTTTCTAGTGATAACATGTAAACTGAAGTTCCTAGTTTTTCCTGCCCATAGAAGTGTATTCAGGGCCAGGCAGCAGAGAGACTAAGTGCATCGTTCCACCAGACTCATGCACATTAATACATACGTGGCCAACTGCCACAGATGGACACCGGCAAGTGAATGACACTTGTGCAGGCACCCACATGACACAAAATTGCTCATATAAACTTGAGTCACTCTAATGGGTTTATGCTTTCCTTTTCAATCAGGTTCAAAGTCTGCTAGCAGATTTCATACCCAGCCACTCACATGCACACGCTCACACGGGTCTCTCCTGGTCCCTAGAGCCTTGACCTCTGCTACCCACCTCAGATTGCTGTTATCCAGCTTGCTGGCTAGTACTACTTAGTTTGCAGGAGAGCTACGTGGCCGTGGTTTTGTGGGTCTGCCCATTATTGGAGCTCAGACCTGTGATTTCTGGTAGATGGCCTTCAGACTCATGGTCTCTTCGGTATTCAGCTGCCAGGTCATTCTTGTCCCACTTACCAGGTTATCCTGTCTCAAGTTTGCCAGCAGGTTTAAAAACATGTACCCTCACACACCCAATAGAGAACTTAATCACACAGAAGATTTTTAGAAACAGATTTTAATGTGCAGGGGTTGACCTGACAATTGTGTTGACCAGAAGCCTGCTTACTTGCAACTGTTGTGTTTAATCTCATTCCTCCTTTATTTTCTCATGCTTATTCTTCCTGGATTCATCTTGATCTTTCCCCTCCTTTGGCTCTTCACCTAAACATCCCATTAAAATCTCCATGTTTCATGTTTTCCTTAAAAAAAAAAAAAAAAAAGATTCCCTAAGAAGTTTCACACATCCCCACAATTCCCCTTCTCACCAGCATCACACAGTAAGTTTGCTCTTTCTCATGAGATCCATGAGAATCTTGTTTTTCTTCTCATCTATTGTAGTTCTGGTTGAATCTCTTGAAGGCAATGCTTGAGTAGTTCCTGTTATGGCTCATTGATCAGGGTCCCCCAACTTCTGTGCTTTGTTACTATTCCTGTTATCTGTAGTTTGTCAGCTGAGTTCATTTTATCATTTCTACTGCTTGCCTTTGTCTTTTATGCTGAATTGCTGTTAACAAGTTATTTGTACAGAAAGTTTAAATTCAGATTAAAAGTGTTCCTCTTTTCTCCTCATTTTCTTCCCTTGTCCTTTCTCCATGTTGGAATTCTATTTTTCTGTCTTAAATGGCTGTTAATCAAGTGAGTTACTGATGTCCATAGGGAGTAATGAGTAAGCTGGAAATTTATGCCTGGCTTTTCTCACACTGGTAGCTGGTTCGATTCTAAGTATAGCCCAGAGTAGTGTATGTTTTCCTATAACTAGGAATTGCAGTTCAAATATCTCCACTGAATTTTCTGTGTACCATTCAATTTCTGTATCACAAAGGTAAATACTGCATACTTTTATGAGTAATATTGTTGCTTTATCAGTTAGGGTCTGAAACACTATTTCTAAAATATGTTGTGTGAAATATGTTAATAATTGCAATGATTTTTTTCTTTGTAGAGCCAAAATTGCAATTTCAGCCACCACATCAAGTACAGCACAGAGTTATGAATACAGAACAGAATGGCATCAAAGAAAATCATTCAAGACACATTTCTCGCAATGACATGAGACAACCAAGGAATGAGAAACCCCCTCGTTTTCAAAGGGATATTCAAAATTCAAGGCAGGCTTTGGAAAGTGGTGGGTTACCAAGAAACAGAGGTCCTGAAAGGCACAGCTCTTTAGAACATTGGACAGATGAGAAATCTAAAAGTGACAGACATTATCCTAGAAATGACAGGCCAAAGGATTTGGGTTATCCCTTAGCCACTCACCAGAATGATACTACTTTCAAAAAAAGGGATAACAATATGCAAAACAGGGTAGGAAAAGGGGTGTCTTTCACAGAGTTCAAGGAGAACTCTGCTGCTCAAGATACTACAGACAACAATAACCAGAAACGTGGAAAAAGGGAAAACCAAATGCACAATTCTGAAAATTTTTGTGATAGGAAGGCACGAACAATAAGTAGTGAAGCCTTTATGGTAAAAAGTGAGCAACATTTTGGCATTAATAATGATTACCAGAATTCTGGTAGAACTGATAATTTTCATGCTGTACCAAATGGAGATACTGAGCATCATCAGAAAGGAAGACGAGTAGGACCTATCAAATCATCAGGACCCGCTACGATTCCATCTTTTGATGATAAAATGTTGTATTACAACACTGGTCCCAAAAGGAGATCTGGGCCCATCAAACCTGAGAAAGTATTAGAACCATCATTTCACATGGAGTATGGAAAAAGTTGGAGACCGGGGGATGAATGTTTTGCTCTTTATTGGGAAGACAACAAGGTATGCCTTTGCCAAATGAGAAATACCTCAAAGTGTACCTTTATTGTTCTTACATACGTGTGGGAGATTTAGCATGCTAGCACAGAGACATGGGCTTTGTTCATAGATGTGTAGTGTGCTTCTTGGCTAGCTTCTTATTATATTTACTTACTTATTTATGAGATATGTTGCTTGTATTGATTCCATGAAATGTTAAGCACTTAAGTCATCCTGAAGGTGATTGTTTCTCTCATTTAGATGTTTAGGATGACGAGGCTCCTAATTTAAGCATTTGACTTAAGTGTCAAAAGTTTGGAGGGATGAATATGGATCTAGGTGCCTATATTCTTTTCCAGGGAACAAGAAACAGGATGCTGTGCTACCTAGAATAGTCTGTAATGGTAGATATTTAGATATCTACCATATGGTAGATATGCCTTTTTCTAGAACAAGTCAGCATGCAACCTTTACTAGCATGAGGGAAGACCAGAGCCTGCAGGAATGGGCGACTGTTTAAAAAAACTTTCTATTTCAGTTGTTACAGAAAGGAAACAGCAAAAGTCTTATTTTCTATTATCACTAGTAGACTGTTAGCTGAAGAATTTGTGGAACAAGTGAGTTATGCTGCATGATAGCTTTGTTTTACTGATTTTTAGAAGTTTAAACACTTCGTTTTCAGCTGTGTTTCGTATTAATAATATTTCTCTTGTGGTAAGACCACTCTACTTTCATCTTCTCCTTTGCTAAAACAAGTTTTAGGCTATTTGCTTTGATTTGTTATTATCTGTTCAGGAGTACTCTGTCACTCTTCTTGGGTAGTTTCTTCAGTTTTTGACCCTTTCTGACAATCTTGAGAACTACCTCAAATATTATTGTTCTTTGAATGTTTTTTATTGCCACCATTTTCTGTCTTTTATTTGTTGTTTATTTTCTGTTAGTTATTTAAGATTTTTTCCTTTTCTTGGTCTTTTTACAGGAGGTAGTTAGTGTTAGCTCAGCAGCATGACTTTATTTTTTCTCTTTTGTTTGTATGACTAAAACAAATGCTAAAGTATGCAAAATTTTTGGTAGTGGCAACAAATAGTGAGTTGACTCTCTGAAACAGGAATATGTAGCTTGGGTGGATGGATTACTGTGAAATATAATGGCATATGATGGGATTGTTTTCTGTTTTGAGAAGCATATTTTCATTATTGTGAGATGAGTTTTTGAAATTCTGGAAAGTATGACCCTTGCAAAATAAGTAGATATGAGGCAATCCCAAGCTGTTACCTGAAAAGTATTCATCACATTAGAACAGGGGCGGTTTTTGAGGTGTTTTTTTGTTTGGTTTTTGTTCTTTTTTTTTGGTAGTTATAATAAATTCTGCTCCTCACATCTCGGACAATTTTGAAATGTGATGATAAAATACAGTTAAAACTGTATTTTGATATTATGTATTATATTATGTAATATTATGTATTATATTATATAATATATTATATGTGATATATTATATAATATATTATATATTATATATTGTATTATGATAAAAAACAGTTAAAACATGAGCTTAACCATGTTAGGAGGCGGTGATTTCTTTGTGTTCAGTAAGACCTTCAAGAAAGGTGATCTGTGTGTGCATAAATGTCAAAAAATCAAGTTCTGTGTTTTGAAAAAGGATTTCTTGAAGGGGCAGTTTTATATTTTCATCATATTTTATTATGTGTTAAAATAGGTATATATTAGTGTGTACAGTATATGTGGCTGATAGGCACTGATACATGTGTATTGAAAATATTACAGTAACACTTCTCTGTATACAACAGCATTTTTGTTAGTGATGAATTCGTTCTACTTTCAGAGAAATTAAGTCTTTTGAATGTGGAATCTAATTTCATAAACTGCATATTTTCTTAATGAGTGTTCTGTATACATTCTGTGTCCTTGCAGTCTACCGTGTGCAGTTTTAATATATCTGGTTTAATATCTGATACAAATATTATTCAAAATACAATATGACTAAGACTATATATACACACATATAGATATATACACACATACACATATATAAAAATATATATATATATGAAAAAGGGAGTTGTTAAGCTCTTTGTGGTATTTCAGGTAGTATTTTGACCTTTGAAAATTTCTCTTAAGTTCTACAGGGCAGAAATTGAAGCTCTCCATTCTTCTGGGACAACTGCAGTTGTTAAATTCTGTGATTATGGAAATTATGAAGAGGTGCTTCTCAGCAACATCAGGCCTCTTCATGCAGACACATGGGTATGTGATAACAAATTGTATTAAAAAATATTAACTACATAGTCTGTACAAAATCTGTAACCATACAGAAATTAATACCTACTCATGCAAAGAGTGCTAATTACATGTGTAGAAAAATAGTTAAGAAAATACACGAACAAAATCTCAACTTTTAGTTGTCTATATGAAGCTTCATAAAAGTGTATTATCATGTAGTATTTTTCCTGTATAATAAATTTCAATTGTATTGTTTGAAAATGAATCGTTGACCTGTCAGACAAACAGTTCTATGCATATTTTCTCTCTAAAAGTTGTTGCTTCCTTTATTAAACAGTTTTCTGGTTTATTTCATGTATATTTTATGTTGTTCTATACAGTTTGGGAAACAGTCTTAAAATATATATTCTGAAGGTTTTTACCACGTGTATGTATAGCTAAAAATAGACATCTGTATTACTTTATTTTGTATCATGATTTTATTCTTGTTTCAATGATTTCTTCTTTGCCAAATATTGTGGTGGAGGTGTATGTCTCAAAATCTGTTTTATGAGGTTCAGAATGTATTAGCCTTATGGAAGTTGGAAATTTCAAAAGGCTTTATTTGTGGATGTCATGGGAAAAGAGGTACATTTTGATTAAAAAAAAAATATCAGGAGCGCACAATTCTTTGCTGTTGACTCTTACTATAAAAAGCTGCACTTTTATATTCATACCTGTATATTGATTCCTTAATGATGAGTTGATTGTGCTTATCTTAATTTCTTACCTGTGGCTCATATAGTCATGTTACTACTGTTGCAGAGGCTGAAGAGTCAACCACTGTTTCCTACCAGTGGTCTTTTAACTTGTGGTGTTGCCTGTAGCTCTCAGATGCCTTTATAGCCTCTGAGATGACCTTTTTCTACTTAAAAAGATATCTGAAGCTCTTCTCAGATGATGCATTGCTGCTTTTATTAAAATTTACCCTTTTTTTTTTGTTGTTTTTTTTCTTCTTTCTTTTTATCCCACTAGCTGAGCTATAAGGTGCTAGTTTATTACTGGATGATTGTATTTATTTTGACCCTTTTTCTGGGTTAATAATCAGCCTTCATGCTTTTGATTACAGTATCGAGGAGTGGCTTTTATTTTACTTTAACCCTCTGAAAGTTAGCTCTCACAGTCTAGGGACTTGGCCTGGTGTTGATCTAGTAGTGAGGTACAAACCTGAAGCAGTGGTCATTCATCCTGCCTCTTCTGCTTATCTGACTACATGTTCTTCCCTCACCTCCCGTGTTGGATCGTCAGTCATGTAAGCCACAGGATGAGTCAAATGAGGTGGACCACTTTTTTGTTCCACCCAGGTATCTTTTATTTCAGAGTTAGTTAAAGCAGACACGACATGGTGGGACAATGTATGGAGAGGGGATTCTGCCACTGAAGTAGCATAATCCTAACATCATACTGCATCCTGATCTAGTCATTGAGGCTTTCTCAGATGATACTGGGGAGAAATAACGATTTTTCCAAGGACCTTTTGGTCCATTCATAAATGAAAGATACCTTTCTCAAGGTTTTTTTTTCTCTCAAGGGAGTCTAGGTAAATAGCATAAAATCAGACTACTAAATTTAGATCACTAGAGTTGCATAAGATAAATGCCAAACAACATCTTCATACTAAACAAATTTTTTATGGTTTCTTTCCCAGTTTTTACCGTTTTGTTGCTAAAAGCTCCTTGCAGTTACAGGATTTTTGCAGGAGAAAGTTGTTTAGGACCTTGCTCTTCACTTTTTTATGTTTGGATGCTAACTCTAGTCCTCATTACGCATTTGCAGTTCTTAATCACCCATTGGATTCATGCTCAGATACTCAGGTTTCTCTTTTAAGCTGAACACTGTTGGTCACTTTTCTTTGTCTCAATGTTCATATTAGTAAATGAATCTAGATAGCACACACAGACGCAAAATGAAGTTCTCATGCTGCTTAATACTTAATTCTTTGTCATAAGATTTAAGTAACTTTGTGATATTTTCTCTTTAGAAGAGAACAAAACAGATTTTAAACTGACTTCCGTAATTACTTTTCTTTCACTGATTGATGTTATCAGCAACAATTAACTTGTTTTATTAGAAGAGTTATGCTGAGCTTTATTTCAGTCCTTCTAGGTAACTTATAGCTATGTCTTTCTTAGCTGTCTGTACTGAAGACTTATTACTAATGTAGAAGCATATTGTATGTGAGTTCTGATGTTCTAATATTACCAGGTTTTCAGACTCTTTTTTGAAGCAGTTGTTGATACTAAGAAAAGATTTAGTGGCATAAATTTAGTTTATGTGTTAGAATTAATTATTCTTTACTGTTTTCTCTAGCACACCTTTTGGTACTTGTGTTGAATTTACTTTTTTTTTTTTTTTTTTTTCCTAACAAATATATACTGGTGAAAGTATACCACAGGGAGGAAGGGGTTAAAAAAAAGGGCAAAATCTTGGTCAACTAGTAACTTGAAAAAACAGCCAAACTACCACAGTGACCTTATTTTGATAACATGACCTATTGCTTAAGCACCTGAGCTTTTGATCTACTTTTGGGAACCTTTATAATTATCAGATAAGTAAATTAAATAAAATTCTTCACATTGTTAGTACGTTTAATTAATTTCATTTTTCTTCACCCCCAGCTAGTTAACTGTCTTCTCTCTTTTTCTGTTGTCTCTAATACTGAACGACACTGCATTAGTACAAGTTTTGTGGTCTTGGTGGTTTTAGCTTGGTTTTTTGTTTGTGATTTTTTTTTTTTTTTTTTTCTTGACTGTAGATTGAATTTTTCTGATATTCTCAGAATACATTGTGTTTTCCACTTTAATGGAAAAAGTGTTACTAGATCTTAAGGCTTCTTGCTAATTGATTGTATATATTGTCCATCACTCAGTTTGCCCTGAGTCTGTGCAAGTTTTTAGTCCCTCTGACATATAATATGCTGCTATTTATCTTTCTGATGGTTAGAAGCATAAAACACAAGGCTGTGTTTTACATAAGGTAAATCAAAAAGCTAGTGGGGAATTTTTTTTCAATAATCACATACAATACCCATATAAATATATGTAAGGATACTGAAACTGTTTTGTTTTTTCTTTTTCTCAGTGCTTGCAAAATGTGTCTTAGGTATGCAATTCATAAATATTTTTAATAATAAAATTATATTTGGATTCCACTGTTTTAGAGTTCTTCTAAATATCTTGTATGTAACACTACAGTACTGTATCCTATTTCCCTCAATGTAGCAGGGGTCCTTAATGAAAATATTATAAACCCAATTTTAAAAAATCACTGAAAAGCCATTGTAGAAATAAAAACTGCTTGTTTTTCTCTGTAAAATATGTAAGATTATGCTAACAACTGAAAAGCATGGAATATTTAAGGGCCTTCCTGACTCAATAGTTTGTTCTGTAGGAAAAAAAAAAAAAATAAAGTCAAGATAATACTTTAAGTCTTAATTTTATTCTCTAACTTGTAGGATTTTTTTCCTTAATAAATTATGAAAATGAGTAGTCTAAGTGCTTATCTTTTGACTTTTTTCCCCAAAGCCAAGTCTTTGCTTTCCCTTTTCCATTCTGTATTTCCTTAGTCATGTGATAGGCCTTGTTGCACCATTTACACTATGATTACCCATCTTTTTTTTCTTTTTCTATTACTATATGAAGGAACTAAAGATTGCAGTTTTTTAATCTATATATGTTATGGCCTTATTCTGATTGCTCTTAAGACAAGCTAGAATTCATACAAACTCTTTGATTACAGCAATTCACTTAAAAATACTAATTATTAAGTCTGTAGTTTATCTCAGTTTACTCTTTCTGTATCTTGCACTGTACTCTGCCTAAAGAGGTAAGAGGGCAAAAGCTATTATTAAGGTATGTATAATGCTAGTTCTTCTATAATTTGTTTTGTTCTGTCGAGACGGAAAATCCACTTTGCAGTTTCCTTCAACTCATTCCTCCAGTAAGAAATGAGTTATGGAAATAGCAAAGGGTCTTGGATTCATGCTAGCAGACAATTTGAGAGCTCAAATTTGGTAACGTTGGGTCTTGTACCTCACAGAGCTCTAAGAGCATCTAGAGGTGTTGAGTTATCTTAAATAAAATTATAATTCAGAGTTCTCTTCTAGATGTCCCCTTTTTTCAGGTAAGTGAAAAAGTAAATTCCTGTGAGTTTTCTGAAGGTGTTCGAACCTCTCTCCAGCTGTGTAAAGAGCAACACTGAAAACCACTAAATGGTAAAGGCTTATAGCTGCCTCTTTAAGCTGGAGAAGACTTTTGCCTATTGGCTTTATAGAGGCTTTGAACCTGTTCCAGTGTCTTGATTTATGACAGGCAAATATTTACTTGAAGGATTGGGTGCCATTTCTTTATGTCTCTTCAGCCTGGATGGCCTTGGTATCACACTATGATATTTTTCTGTTGTGTGTCAAGCAGGAAGTCTTTCCCATTGAATAATTAAGTAGGTGCAGTAGATAAATGTGTCTTGGTTGGATTTCTTATCTAGCTTCTGTTCTCAATGTCTATACTAAAAACAAGGCTGTTAGAATTGTACAGTCTACTTAACCAGTTCTGAGGTTGCTGTAGAAAAAAATGTCCCTAAATAGTTTAATTGGACAAGAATTTGATGTCTTTAGTTCTTTGTCTTCTGTACTGTTAGAAAAATCTCTAGAATAATTTTAAAGTTTATAATTACTCATTGACTAAATGAATTAAAAGAAGCCTGACTGTTTTAGTCTACCCTTCTTCTTGAGTGGTGGTGTTTATTTATTAATTAATTTTAATGTAAAAAGTTACCATTGTGAATTTAGTTTCCACAAAAGCCTATCCTTCTGCTTTATTAAAACACTTCAGTTTTAGACAGTTATTTTGTTGCAATGTGTCTCATTTTCCATCTCACCAATATGTGGTAATTTCAGTTGCCTCTGTTCTGCCAGGCTGAAAAATTGCTTTTCATGGTCTGTCCTAAACTTTTTTTGTAAATTTTCTTACTAGAGACTTTTTTTTTTT